CCCCCCCCCCCCCCCCCCCCCCACAGTTTCCGGCTACTGTCAATCCTTTTCTTATAGTATTATGATAGTTGTTCAAGGCTCACTTAAGAGTGAGAACATGTGATACTCAGTTCTTTGTTTCTGTGAAAGATCAAGAAGTATTCTAGACTCTAAGCCCATCCAGGTTGCTGCGAAGCTCATGATTCTGCTCTTCTTTATGGCTGCGTAATATTCCATTGTGTATATGCACCACATTTAAGACTTTCTTAGATGTGTGTGCTAAACTATTTTCACTCCTTGTTAGTTTTTAGCCAATACCTGCTTAACTTATTAATTTGCACCCTGGCTTCACCATCATTCCCTGCCGCTTACACCTTCATGGTATCCTGCAACAACCAGGGTTGTCAAAGCCATTGATTTCTGGGTCCTGTGGAAATACTGATTGTACCACCCCCAGAACTCTTCTCAGCCAAGTTGAGGAACTCAGTACCCATAAGGTGATAACATTTTAGTACCTCAGCTTTTGATCTTCCCTGAACTAACACCCCAAAACTTCTAATTACAACACTTCTATGTGGCGGTGTGTGTATTTACTGACTTTTGTTTGTATTTCTCTATATATCTGTTATCAAAAGACTTTTTTTGCTTTTGAGTCAGGGTCTCACTCTGTTGCCCAGGCTGGAGTGCAGTGACATCATCACAGCTCTCCACAGTCTTGACTTCCTGGGCTCAAGCGATCCTCCTGTCTTAGCCTCCCTGCTCATAGCTGGGACTACAGGCACGTGCCACCATGCCCACCTTATGTTTTTATTTTTGTGTAGAGACACTCACTGTATACATATTATGTATGTACTATTTATGTAGAGACACTCACCAAGAGTCTCACCATATTGCCTAGGCTGGTCTCAGACACCTGGGCTCAAGCACTCCTGCTGCCTTGGCCTCCCAAAATGCTGGGATTATGGGCATGAGTCACCACACCCAGCCTCAAAAGGTCTTTAAGGCTACAGAGATCTCATAGAAGTATGTCATTATCTGAAAACCATGAGAGTAAAACTCATTAAGAATAGGTGAAAATAAAATACTTAGAAACTAAACAAATAAGTATAAGCAGTGGGAAATAAACATGAAAGAGTAAAGCTAGCAGAAAAACATCAGGTCCCCAAGCGCTCTCCCTTCCCAGATAAGCATCCTTAACCACATGGAAGAGATCAAGAGCCAGCATCAGAGCCCTGGTTTCTGGGATACTCATTTTCACTGTAGAATCTCACAAACACTTGGGGAAAAAAAATAGACACCCAGTGAAAATGCAGTTGGCAAGATAGCCTGATCGCAAACGAAACAGGGCCCTTAAATGCAGAGGACAGAAAAAGCTGGGAAATCAGACTTGAATTGCTTCCACTTAAAAGGTGAAAACCTGTCCTGGTGGCTTCCCCTCCTCCATCATTTGCTATCGAGTTGGACAATTGCTCTCACAACTCCGAAGTATTATACTTGTGAGAACATGAAAAATACACTTCCCATTCTATTTAACAATATTTGGGCTTTTAAGAGAATACAGTGTTTATTATTTTGAATCACAGTCCATTGAGAGAAAAAAAACATCAAGTTCCTACACAAATCTCCAAGGTGGTTTTAAAGCAGGATTTAAAAGGAAATGACAAAAGGGATTGATGATAGTGTGACCATGAGAAAAGTTCGGAAACAGAAAAACAGCTAATGTCACATTTGGGGAAAATTGTAGGAAGCTGATAAGAAAAAGAAGTTAGGAGACTTGGCAGAAATGTTGACATTTTCTTATTCCCCCGCACTGCTTGAGGTGAGAATGACAGAGTGTTCCAGAGGGCGTTGCCAATATGTGGGATGCCAGTGTCCCGAGGACTCACCTGGAAGAATACAGTCTCCCCACCAGTGCTTCCTGTGCGTCATAAATGACAGGAGGACTTGCAAAGATAACAGAAACCTCAGCCCTAGAGTTTTTGATTCAGTAGGCTGGGGCAAGAATCTGCAGTTCTAGCAAGTTCCAGGCTGCGTCAATGCCCACCCCCTCTTGCCCCCCCACACACACACTGATCAGTGCTGCTCTTGGCACTAGTGTCATGGAGGCATGGTAGAAAGACCTTTGGCATTGCACAGAGCGGGGTTTGTATCCGGACTCTGGCGTTCAGTATGTGCATGGTAACTTTGGCCAGAGATACTCCTGCAGCAACACAGAGACAAAAATATCTTCCTGAGGTTGGAGGGAATGTGAGGATATAATAACCGATGATGCCATAAACACAGTGGTTAAATGCTAGGCTTTAGATCCCAGCTTAGCTGGGTCTGGTCAGTTCTATCACTTACTTACTGGTGGTGTTACCAGAAGAACAGTGAATCTTCGAGAGTCTCAAAGTTTTCTTATTTTAATTGGGGGAGGAGGGTAATAATACCAGCCTTGCAGGAGTATTGTTTTAGGTATGTACATGGACACCATAAAAGCCCAATAGATGGTAGCTTATGACAGGTTGGGCAATACTATAATTAATGGCATGGTATTCAGCACAGAAAAAATATTCGCCAAATGTTAGGGTACTCCTTCTCTCGACTGTATTAAGTTCTCACATGAATAGGAAGGAGAAAAGAAGCATAATATTAATTTTACTCAGCCCTGAAATAATTAAGAGGAAAGCATAGTAAAAATTGGAATGAAGTAAGAATAAAGTTCAGAACTGCTATCTCAACAAAATTATCTCTGAACATACGATTTGTACAAAAAATATTAAAAATATGTTTCTTCTGTGACCTTAGGGATCTGGAAGGCAATCAAATAAAGTATCTTACGAATTCCACCTTTCTGTCGTGCGATTCACTCACAGTGCTGTAAGTATACAATAGACTTCAGTAGATGAGAGGAAACCCTATGGATTTGGAAATTAGAAGTACACATGAACAACGAATCTTAAAGTAGTGTTTTGTTTACAGGTTTGGTCTGACACTAATACTTGAAAATATATACATTGATTTATGGATTTGGATGGGTGTTGGGTCTAAGTCTCAAGTTAGGTTGCCTGTCATCTAGGTCTTCATCAGTTTCCTTTTTTCTGAGGGCAGTCATCATTTCTCAGCTGAACTGGTTCCAGAAATTTCCGATTTCCTAACACCGATGAAATGAAATAGTGTATGTGAAGTAGTTAGCTGTGCAGTGATTAGCTGTTACAGCCCATCACTCTTATCTTTGAGTTCTCTCTTCCCAAAGAAAAATAATAATAATAATTTCATTCTGAAAGAAAAAACAGTTAATGTATTCTGATTGACCAAAGATTCTGACTGGTGATTCTGATTGCTGATTATGTATTTTATGGGGGCGGGAAGGCAGATGGATTGGTCATCAGTGCATGTGTGCTGATAAACTTCAAAACACAGTGTTTTCGTTTGCTTTAATTACAGTTTTCCACATATAGTAAGCACTTAGTAATGTTTGTTGATTGCATGGTTGATTGGGAAAAAAACATGGAAAAGGAAAATTAGAGACATTTTCAAAAATAATCAGTTGCAAACAAAGTGCATCATGATAGACCACACTCAGCACATCAAATTGCTCGTGACAGCACTTCATGGGGATGTCCTTGGTGAGAAACTCCTGCCTTAGTTTCCAGTCTTCAGAGGAGACTTATTCAATTTCATATGGATAAGTGGCATTTCCCAGTGAGAACTGATTATTACAGCAGACACAAACCCACATGCTGATTCTCGCCATGTCTTACAGGTTTCTGCCTAGAAATCAAATTGATTTTGTTCCAGAGAAGACATTTTCTTCATTAAAAAATTTAGAAGAACTGTAAGTAGCATCGTCTACTAGGAAAATATGATTGCTTCTTCCAAGATTATACATTCAAATGACTAGTGAGACTGCTTTTCCACTAGTAGCAATCAAAATCCTGTAGACTATTGGATATTAAAAATCAATTAGGAAAACCAACATTATCCTGAAGACCAGAGCACATTCAGATAAGACAGTGGGCTTAATGTGGATTGAACCCACCGTCATTTCCCCGGCTATTTTCTTTGGGCATTTCATATATATGTGTGTGTTTGGGGGAGTAGGTTTTTCTTAGCTTCTTAGAAATAGGCATCACTTCTCTCTAATGGCCGGAGTACAGTTATTTCTCAATAAATGCTTGCTGAATGGGAAATTGGCTGACTGAAATGATATTAATTAGTTATAACTGAAGAAAGGAACAAAGATGCTCATTATCCCTTGAAAAATTATGACTTCTATAACAGGTGAAGCGAATCCAAGTGTCTAGAACAAGGATTAGGCTTGTTGAAAAATAGTCAAAGAGCTTATGTAACTTTTTTCTGTTCAAATGCGCGTTTTGTAAATAGAAGCCTTTTTTAAAAAGGCATTTGTCTTACATTCATTCACTGCTCCCCACACAAGTGTGTATTATTGGAAGTTAAAATTTAATTTGCTGTATTACCATTATGACATATATACATATAAACAAATATAAGTCTCTTATATTACAAGTAGCGGTGTTAGCAAACCCATCCTGCTGATTAAGATCTTAAAATGGAAATTGCATTCTTATTTATTTATTTATTTTGAGTCAGGGTCTCACCCTGTGGCCCAGGCTGGAGTACAGTAGCATGCTCAGGAAATTAATTTCTTAATTAACCTCTCTCCCATTCTTTATACCTTGTTTTGAAATCTGGAAAGGACTAGAGAAAATAACTCAATGAGAGTAATCTAAAAAAATAATTCGTGAATAATTAAGATAATTCAGTCTAATTAATGAGCAATCATATATCAAATCCACACATGTTTATTAAGTGCCTAGTATGTTCAGGGCAATACATTAGAACTAAAAAAATTTTCCCCGTATGGGAAAAACTTAAAGGCACCTCACTCAGAAGAGACATCCTCTCAGGGGCATTTCTGGGCAATCTCTGGTGAATGAATGTAGACGGGTTGCAGGGTGGAGGGGGCAGCAGCCCAGAACAAACAGGGTGTATTTTATATAAAAATTTAAAGAAGCAATAGTGTAGAATTCACATTTTGAAAATTGTCCTAATCCTCCTCCCATCCTTCACATAGGCAGAGGCTCACCAAAAAATAAAATAAAATAAATTTTAAAAAATAGATCCAGCCGGGCTCGGTGGCTCAGCCTGTAATCCCGCGCCTTTGGGAGGCTGAGGTGAGTGGATTGCCTGAGCCCGCGGGTTCGAGACCCGCCTGAGCAGCGAGACCTCATCTCTACAATAAATCAAAAAATCAGCCGGGCGTGGTAGTGCATGCCTGTAATTCCGGCTACTGGGAAGGCTGAGGCGGAAGGATCGCCGGAGCCCAGCAGGTCGAGGCTGCGGTGACCGGGAGCGGCCACTGCACTCCAGTCTGGGGGACAGAGTGGGACTCCAACTCAAAAAAAAAAAAAAAAAAAAATAGATCCCACTTAAGAGCTGCTAGCTTGCTCCTTTTAAGACCAGTAATAATCCATTGCCATCCACTTAGCCTCAGAAAGCTAAAAGAAATTCAAGTATTGATAGACATGTAAGACATATATATATATAAGGCATTATATGCTTTTTTTTTTTTAGTTGGACGTCTTACTCTGTCACATAGGCTGAACTGCAGTGGCACCACAGCCTTGACCTCCTGAGCTCAGGGAATCTTTCTGCCTCAGCCTCCTGAGTAGCTGGGACTATAGGTGAACATCACCATATTCAGCAATTTTTTTTTTTGAGTAGAGACAAGGTCTCACTATGTTGTCCAGGCTGGTCTCAAATTTTCCTCCTGCCTCAGCCTCCCAAAGTGCTGGTATGACAGGCATGAGCCACTGCACCCGGCTGTATGTCTTGAGTTTACAAGTGTTAAGTAGTTTTACAGTGCCTTCAGGATAACAGACCCATCCTGGGGAAGAATAAGTATGTAACACCTCCGAAGTCCCTTCCCCCCAAAAGAGTGCGCTTTATTTTTCTATGTAACACTTTGAAGGACATGTTCAAGGTATTCAGTTCATCATCATCTTGCTCTATTACCAGGCTCTCCCGGTCCATGCACACCTGTGGCTTCCCTTCTGGGCTGTGACCCAGGTGTGCTCCTCCCATCTGGAGCACCAGATCAGAATTTCCAGATGGAAGGATCTCCCACCATAGCTTAGATGTCGTAACAGCATTTCAAAAGCAGCCTGTTAAAACAAAACAATGGACCTTTCCCCCATTACCAGCTTCTTCACTTGGACTTGGCTGTCTTGGTGTTATTAGCATCCCTCCTGTTAGCCAGGTTTCACAACTGCTCTCTCCCTCCTTCCTTTCCTCCTCCTCCTCCTCCTCCTCCTCTTCTTCTTCTTCCTCTTCTTCCTCTTCCTCCTCTTCCTCATCCTCTTCTTCTTCCTCTTCTTCCTCCTCCTCTTCCTCCTCCTCCTCCCCCTTCTCCTCCTCCTCCTCCTCTTCTTCTTCTTCTTCTTCTTCTTCTTCTTCTTCTTCTTCTTCTTCTTCTTCTTCTTCTTCTTCTCCTCCTCCTTCTCTCTCTCTCTCTCTCTCCCTCTCTTTCAATAGCTTTAGGGGTACAAGTGGTCTTTGGTAACATGATATAGTGGTGATGAAATCTGGGCTTGAAGCATACCCATCACCCCCACTAGTGCACGTTTTACCTGACAGGTAATTTTTCAAATTCCTCGCCCTTCTGCCATCCTCCTCTCTCTGAGTCTCCAATGTCCCCTCTGCCATTCTATATGCCTTTGCAAACCCTTAGCTCAGCTACCACTTATTAGTGAGAACATGGAGGTATTTGGCTTTCTACCTTTCGCTTAACACTTTTTGTTTTGCCAGATCCCAACCCCTGCCGATGTCCCCCTCAAGCCCTCATCGGCTCTCATCTCGTCCTTCTGGAAACCTCCAGCCCGGTCTCCCTCCTCCCCTGCTCTGGCTTTTCAGCCTGACTTAGATGCTCTGGGCAGAATTATCACCCCACAACCTGGAGCAAATTATGCCACTGCCCTGCTTAATGTTCTCACTCCCTATTGCCTGCCATTTAGTAAAGTACTTCACACAGTTCTCAAATGTTAATGAGCAGAAGAATCGTAGGGGATGTGTATTACCAGACTCCCTCCCAGAGATTCTGATGTGACAGATCTGGGGTGGGTACCAGAAAGTGCTCTTCTTATCAGCATCCTCAGGAATTCGAATGCCCAGACTGGACTGTGAAAAATGCTGCCTTGGAGGATGCTCATGGTCCTTCCATCTTGCTTCCAAGGATTTCCCAGCTCACATCCTCTGCTTCTCCCCCACGTTGGCTCACTTGATGACTCCTAAAGATGTCATTGAATTCCAAGCATCTCTTCCCCAGCGTTTTCCTATCACCTGAGAAATTGTTCTTCTTTTGTCGCACCTAAAACCACCAAGTTTCTTTCAAATACTTTCTAATACCCCAGGCCACGTTTGATGATTCCTTCTTCTGTGCTTTCTCTGTACTTCTAGAATAACACCTGTCTCATCCTTTCCTCGTTGTATAATATAGTTGTTACTCTAAATGTAAGCTTCTTTAGAAAGAGAGCTAAGTCTTAGTTACATCTAACTCCCACAAATCCATTAGCAGCCCCAGAGTATCAAAAGTAGATATGATTTTTTGTTTGACTCTTAATGAAGGCAATTGGTCATCTGATTTATCTTTAACATCTTCTCTGGCTCAGAAGGATATGATAGATTCCTAAAGATCATTGATTTCTTCTGATCTCCTAAACGATCTGTTTCCCACATTCTATAAATTCCCTGTGGATTTTTCTGGAGGACAGGCCTGCCTTATTTAATTCTAACCTCTCAATTTCTTCTACAAAAACAGTATAAGAAATATTAACAGTATAAGAACAAATTAAAAGTGTGTGAGCTTATTCGTTCAAGATTCTCTGAGCAGGTACTGAGTAGGCAACATTATCTTAGTTGGAATGCAAAATAAATAGAGGCTGCAAGACTTGACCTCAAAAAGTTTAGTTGAATAAACAAGAGATCGTGTGTTTGAGGCAAGCGGGAATCACAGAAGCATGAATGGTAGAAGTGTACAAAGAGTACCTAAAACAGGGGAAATTAATCAAATAAAGATTAAAGCCAGGTTGGGAATGTGTTGGAGAGATGGTAAGAGGAAATTCCAGACAGGAACTGGGTGAGCAAAACGCCACATGTCTGTAAGTGATGGAAAGCACATCCACTTGGCTGACTCACATGGCCTTGTTATCGGGTTGGCTAAATTGGATTCATATTTTCTGTTACATCTAATGGGATAGTGATGACTGTGAGGAGTAATAACTCTGTCATTTATTTCCAATGTAATTGCATTGGGTTTTCACTGTCATCAACAGGGATCTATCTAGCAATATGATAATGGAGCTACCGTCCCACCTTTTTAAAGACCTGAAGCGTCTTCAAAAACTGTAAGTTATATTTCTCCCCCAATCAAATTTAATGGCAACATCTTGAGTTTCCAAAATAATAACACCTTCATGTTTGTTTTCCCCTTCCTCCTAATGTTTAAAAAAGGAACCTGTCATCTAATCCACTCTTGTATCTCCACAAGAACCAGTTTGAAAGTCTTAAACAACTTCAGTCTCTGTAAGTGAAATGTTACAATTATATTGATTATAATTTTAGTGGATGTACTTAGAGCCACACTTATTTTTAAATGGGTATTTCATACACATGTATCCTCAGACCGTTGTGAATATCATTGTCACCATCAAATACGTACTGAATGACAAATACAACTCATTTTATCCTTGAACATGGATGAAGGCCATTTCTGGTTTTAAAACTACACATAGCTCCTTCTTGAAAACTGAGTTCATGTCAAACGGCTCATCCAATCATTTTCACAAAGAATTACATTTGCAATAGTTTTGATACTAAAAACAAATTAAGAAAGACTTGCTGGCTTTCCTCCTCCCCTAAAAGAGTCTACTTAATATTAGTCCACGGTGCATTTATTTTACTTTTCAATAAGTAAAGAAAAAACCTATCCCACAAATGTGACCACTCAGACAATTCATGTTGTACAGTATTTTTACATTTCAACCATATTCGTTTTCAATTGAGTCAAGAACTCTTATCCTTTGAACTTGATGGTTCCTTCCCCACAGATGGCAATTGTTGACTAAAGTTAATTTGTTTGTTTTAACACAGAGAGCATATTACAGTACCTGATCTCAGCCTAAAGTATGTCTTCATTTAACTCCAAAGACTAATTCATAACATAGATTTTTATTCTTGCTAAATAGCTTTCTATTTGAAATTAATACAAGATTTAGGTTCTTATTAGTGAGTTCCACTGACGAAAAAGACTTGGCCCCTATCCTCAAGAAGCCAAAATACTGAAAAATCCCAAAATATGAATAACCCATTATTTTTAAATATAAAAACACCACCTCAGGATGTGGACAACATGATTATTTCCTTCACTCACCATATACTGCATTTCTAAAAGCCAAAGTAATAACTATTTACTCCATACTTTTATTTCTTTTTCTCCTATCTTCTTTTTTCCCAGATTTACTTGCACATTTATTTCACAAACATCTATTGGCCACCCGCTTACACATAGCACTGTCTTAGGCACTCTGCTCTGTAGGATACTGTAGGTTGTCAATCAAATAATCACACAAACTATGTAAAGCTAAGACTGTGATGAGTCAAGGAGAAAGCTAGACCACAAAAGAAAAAAGAGGGGGAAAGAAAACTTTAAAAAGGACTTGGAGTTTCCTGCTAGAGGGTCCATGTGAGGATTCAATAGTATAATAGCTCCCCCAAGTTTCATTTCTGACTTCCAAAGACCAAGGACTCATTGGGTAAAGGGAAACTTGAAATTATGTTGAGAAATCCTTATTCAGATTAGCTAAAAAAGAAACTGAGTGAGAATCAGACATCTTTTAAAATAAACATTAAAAGCAAAAGACTTCTGTCTTTTTATTTTTTATTTTATTTTTATTTTTTTATTTTTTGCATGCTACATTGCTTTTTATTTTCACCCTTCTATATTTTAAGTGTACTGATTTTTTTAAAGAGACACTGGAATGTTTTACTGTTTTTTTTAATTTTTATTATAAAGATGTGGGGTACATTTCAGGGTTAGGTATATAAACATTGATCATGCAGGTACCCTTGTTGATGAGGTATGCCCCTCCCTCTCCTAGCAGTTTCCCTCAACTGCCAATCCTTTCTTATAGCATTATAATTGTTCAAGGTCTGTTTTTAAATCGTCCTCTCTGAGAACCGCCTTTAATTCACACTATTCTAAAGAGGTCTTCAAAGGATCCACATTTGTAGAAACTTCTGGTTAAACTAAGCGTATAGGAGTGAACTTTGCAGCCCTTTAAGGTCATTTTACAGAACCTGGAGGAATTAAAAGAATAATGCTTTCCCTGTTGTCTTAGAAAACAGTTTTCCTTAATTCGAGCTCCTCTTTCTACCTACATGGTTTTCTATCCTAAAGACACAGGCCAGGAAGAAATGACTACATGTAAATCCAGATTCTCACAAAACTCACTTTAGTGATGCTCTCAAACTGGAAACATCAGCTACTGAATGAAACCCTCTAACTCCCACGGCATTGTTGATAAAATTGAACTACAGAGCCAGTTTCATAGTCACACAAGTCACTACTGCCATTTTTCAATCGAAGACAGGAATGAACATGTCCTATTGAAATGGAATTCTGCATGTGACATGACAAAATCAGCTCCAAGTTAGAAGAGGTATAAAGAAAAATGTCCATTTTCCAAGACCGTGTACTGTAGACTTTTCGTACTAACGTGAACTGGTAACATGAGATCTGAAAGCATTATATTTTGGATATGACAAAGAATAAGTTGATTTGAAAGTTTAATATTAAAGCCATTAAACCTACGGTATATATTTTCCAGAGACCTGAAAAGGATAGAGATTCCAAATATAAACACACGAATGTTTCAACCCATGAGGAATCTTTCTCACATGTATGTATGTATACAGAATAGAGAAGGAAACCTGGTGAAATGTTTCTAATGTTCTCATGTCAACTGTCTGATGTATCGCTGCAATGTGTTTTTATGCAACCAAAGTCTTTTTATTGAGAACTTTTTAATTTTGTCACCTTTGGTCCCTGTTCAAATAGAGTTCAATATTATGATGTGCCGACATGAATGACCCTTCTCTCTGGAAACACGCTGTTTATCCAATTGAGGCCCAATAAGAGATCAGGGTACCAGAATGCCACATATTACACAAGATGAAGTCACTGGCTTAATGGTACTCAGGAGACCTGGAAACATTAATTCACCTCACATGAATGAGCGGTGTCGGTCGCTCTAAGATTTGAGCCCTTAGGAAGAAAGGTGCTATATAAATTCCAGGTGTTGTTACTGTTACTAAGTGCACTACAAAATGGAGGTAATTAATCTTTATAGTAGTATTTTGATAAGTCACTTAAATATATTTGACTAACGTGCACTGTATAAGTTGTGTTCATATATGTGTTATAACATGATCATTTCTTTATCAATTGTGTGATCAATGTGTTCATGATCTCAAAAATTAACAATTGCTATCCACAAAAATAGGGAGGATTCCATGTAAGATTACAAGTTGGGTGCAGCAACTGGACGAAATGGTTGGTGTGAAGGTGCTCTTTTGGGAGAACATTTTATGTCTGGGCAGTAGGTGTGATCACTGAAAGCCAGGCGTTTGACGCGTATTCACATGGTTATGTTCATTTCCTTTTCTGTGGCGCATTAGATAAATATTGAACAAGGCTATCATTTCCTTGTTGCAGTCAGAACATGAGACCTTTTTAAAATAGAAAAATTCAGCCTTTTTAGAACTTGATGGAGAAGCTGCTGTTTTAAACATAGACCTCAGGTCAAGGTCAAGAAGGGCTCAAAAATGGACAGAAAACATGTTAGTTTACTTTCTGTCCTACTAAGTGATCTACTTCTTCTTGCTTCCTTCACTGATTGAAACTCTTCCGCCTCATCACCTCAGCCCTTTCTGCTGACAACTAGTAGTATGGTCACGGCAGGAGAGGGGCTGAGACACTGAGAGACCCTATATGACTCTATCTGAAGACAGTGGACATAATGGAATCTTAAGACAACCAAGAGGTCAAGCCAACGTGTGCCAAGGACTCCAGAGAAGTAGAAGAAAACAAGAGAGTTAAATGTCAAGTTCCTGTCATCGGATGCTAGTTATTAGGAAGCTGACCCGTGGGTGACTTGAGGGCAGTGATTGCCTCTTATGTCTTTATCAGACACACCCAGCACTAAACTACTCATCATCCAGTCATAGATCCAAGAAATATTTGTTGAGTATCTACCGAGGGTCAGGCACCATTCTAGACGCTGGAAACACAGTGATGAACAAGAGAGAGAATGTCCCCTGGAGCTTCCGTTTAGCTTTGAAAATCAGAGAGGAAACAAGTAAACAGATAAATAGTTAATAAGTGCTACAAAGATAAGGAAAGAAAGATAAGGGGTAGGTAAAGGACTAGGGTGGTTTAGATGTAAGTCAGGGTGATGTGGCATTTGAACTGAACTGAATGAGGGAGAACTCAGCCTTGGAAATATCTCGGCAGAGAAGAATCTTCCAGGCCGAGGGAAAAACATAAGAAAGGCTCTCAGAAGGACATGAACCTGGCTTGTCTGAGGATTAGAAGTAAGGTCTGGGTGGGGAACACGAGGCAGGGAAGGAGGTGAGGGCTCTGGCATCCAAGGGCCTGATCACAGGAGGCTTTGAGGCTGTGGCAAAGTAAAGCTTTCACTTGCTGGTCTAGAAACTGAATTGGAAGATGACCAAAAAAAATGGATTAGACTGAGAGAAAAGAACAGAGAATTGAACGGAAAGGGTAGTAAGAGAATGAAGATGGAGTGAGTTTTTTGAGAGAAATTTCTAAAGACCCAGGTTTGGCATAGGAATGGCTATAAGCCAAACGGCTTCACCAGTTCCAACATTTCAAGCTTCCCCATATCAGATCATAACTACATTGACTGCAAACAGATGTGTACTGCCCCCTAGAAATTTTTTAAGCCCTTCCAGACCCTGGTAAGAAACCCATGTAAAAGGCGACTGCCTCTCCTCCCAGCTTCAGTGGAACTGAATGATCCTAGTCTCAGAGACCTTCCCTTCCGGCCAGGGTCAGGGAAGAGGAGGCTAGTTAAAGTGAGTTGATCTCAGTGTTTAAGACTCAGGACAAGACAGGAATGTTCCAGGTGGAGCCACAATAAGTTCTTTGCATCCCAAACCCAAGCCCCTGACTTTTGCTAGAGAGCAATTGAACATCGATAATCTACTTTTCATAACATCCTAGAGAATAATCCAACGTGACAGAGAAAAAAATAGAGCCTCTAAGATTTCAAAGTTCCATGTCCTCCCTGATTCTTCCCAGCCAAGCCCTTGAATTTCTGTGTCCCTAGGGTTCCTCATCTTTAAAAGAACACCACCTAATATTTCATGGAGAACTCGCTAATGATATAAATGCTACTAAACAAAAAGAAATAGACCAACCTAGCGAAGCTGCGTGCCTAGCACAGAGCTGTAGCCTGGTAGGGCTGCAAATGTAGGTTTTGCATTATTGCTGTAAAGTGACTCTTTTTTTTCCCCTTTGACTTTAGTTATTTCAAAAACTTTCAATACTGCTCCTATGCTTCCCATGTCCGAATATGTATGCCCTTGACTGACGGCATTTCTTCATTTGAGGACCTCTTGGCTAACAATATCCTCAGAATATTTGTCTGGGTTATAGCTTTCATTACCTGCTTTGGAAATCTTTTGGTAATTGGCATGAGATCTTTCATTAAGGCTGAAAATACAACTCACGCTATGTCCATCAAAATCCTTTGTTGTAAGTATGTTTTCTATATAAATAAATTTAGGATAGCCTTCGTGGGCTATGCACTAGACATGTGTGTATGTATATATATATATATATATATATATATATATATATATATATATATAGTTTTTCAATAGGTGGCATTTCAGATGAATTACATATGCTGGGCACATTTTTTTTCTAAATATGAAAGTTCTGGCTCTTTCTAGTTCTGTTTTAGATTGCATGATCTTTTTCTTTTTTTAAAAAAAATGTCGGGTACAATTCAGGACTAAGTATACAAGTGGGCAGTGTACAGGTAAAGTTTGGGCCTCCCTTTGGTCCCCACTTTGCCTGGTACCCTTATTGATGTTGTGTCCCCCACCCCCACCCTGACAGTATCCCACTACTGCCAATCCCTTTCTTATAGTATTATGGTAAAGGCTGCATGATCTTAATGGTGAGCCACTCTTAGGGATTATGTCTTGGAAATGAGGTAACAGAGAACCAATAGTTAAGTTATTATGAATTATGGAGAAAGTTTTGTGGGTTATGAAGTTAAGCTTGTTTAACTTCAATTACAATAACATCCATGCTCCTAAAGCCCAGATAATGATTTCCTTTATTAACTATGCAAGTAATACATGTTTGCTGTTTAAAAACTAGCCCTTTCCCACGAAATAAGTCCCCTTCCCATTTTTTTAGCTATAAAACAAAGACATAATGTGGTACTTTAGAGACAGTACAGATTATGAAGTCCCTTGGCTTCTTGGTACTCTGGTAGTTGTCTACATTCATTCATATTATACAGGATGAAGGAACTAGACCTGGTAATCAGAAAGTAAAACAGAGATAATCAGAAAGTAAAACAGAGATATTAGAGACTACTGACATACACATTATCAATTCTCCCACAGGTGCCGACTGCTTGATGGGTGTCTACTTGTTCTTTGTTGGCTTTTTCGATATAAAATACCGAGGGCAGTATCAGAAGTATGCCTTGCTGTGGATGGAAAGCCTTCAGTGCCGTCTCATAGGTTTCCTGGCCATGCTGTCCACTGAAGTCTCTGTCCTGTTGCTCACCTACTTGACTTTGGAGAAGTTCCTGGTCATTGTCTTCCCCTTCAGTAATATTCGGCCTGGAAAACGGCAGACCTTGGTCATCCTCATTGGCATCTGGATGGTGGGATTTTTGATTGCTGTAATCCCATTTTGGAATGAAGACTATTTTGGAAATTTCTATGGGAAAAATGGAGTATGTTTTCCACTTTATTATGACCAAACAGAAGATATTGGAAGCAAGAGGTATTCTCTTGGAATTTTCCTAGGTAAATTATATTTTTCCTTTCCTGGGTAAACATAATTTTGATAGAAGTACCCATTTCAGCAAAGGTGGATTTGTCCATTCCAGAAAGTAAACGAAAATAGTGAAGGCTATGCCCTTTTTAAAGAAGAGTTCTTGCAATTGTAGTTATTGGTGATCTTATTAAACTTTTGATGATAGAGATCTAGTGTGGAAAATAAATACTATATCAGGATCTTTAGATGATCTTTTTATTAGGTCCCTTGATTTCATAGTTATATGTGATGACTACCGCTAGAAGAATTCTAGTTGAGTGCTTAATCCTGTATCCCTACCAAGTCATTTGGACTCATTTTTTAAACAATCTAGTTATGAGTTAATTACATAATAATCTAATTCCGGAAACTCACGAGCAGGAGATGTCTGAATGGAAATACCAGGAAGCTGTATTGTCTTGGTTAAATGTAGCTCTTAGGTCAGCAATGTAAGGATGCTTAATAAAACTCTTCAGTATTCTTTATTTCTCCCAGATTTTTAGTAAAGAAGACCCTATGCTCTCTTACAAAGGAATGACAAGTTCAGCTCTTTGAAGTTAAAACAACTTTTTTTTCTATTTTCTATTATGTTTCAGTCTTGCTTAAAATTAAAGTCATTCTCATGTCCTCTCTTTAGGGCAGTATTATCATTTTGACTTCCCATTCGTATCTTTTTCCTTCATCCAAATAGTCAATAAGCTCTCTTGTTCTTTTTTTTTTTTTTTTTTAGTTGGAGTCTCACTCTGTCACCCAGACTGGAGGGCAATGGCCGCTCCCGGCCACCGCAGCCTCGACCTGCTGGGCTATGGCGATCCTTCAGCCTCAGCCTTCCAAGTAGCTGGAATTACAGGCATGCGCTACCACGCCCGGCTGATTTTTTGATTTATTGTAGAGATGAGGTCTCGCTGCCCAGGCGGGTCTCGAACCCGCGGGCTCAGGCGATCCACTTACCTCAGCCTTCCAAAGGCGCGGGATTACAGGCTGAGCCACCGAGCCCGGCTTGTTCTTTCTTTTTTATCAAATAGTTTTCATCAAAATTTGCCTCTGTCTTCTGCTCCTTCCAATCGCTACCCACTGCTGTTGCCTTACTTTAAAGCATTTCTACCTTGAGTCTGATTTATTAACTTAGCCCTTACTGGTCTTTTGACCTGTGGGGCCTCTGGAGATTCCATGGAATTTGAAAAGTTTTGGATGAAAATAGCAGATCATCTTGAGTTTAAGTATGTTTTCCCTAGACTTCACCAATTGTACCTAAAGTCGAGATTCAGAATTGCATTTTTTTTTTAAACAACTTTGAAAATACATGCAGATTTTATGTTCACAATGAGAAATGAGATGATCATTCAGGATGTTTATGGCAGTAAGAATAAAGCAAATCAAGTAACTAAGGAGTCAGCATTAAAGGGAATAGTGACGTTAAGTGACAGTCTTATGGATATATTTGGCCCCCAAGCAATGATTCATGAGGCTGAGTATTTAACTTTTTGCTTATTTCTTTTTCCTTTTCTAAAATGATTCTAAAGTGACTCTGAGCCTCAGTAGTTTAAATTACTGTAAGAAACCTGAAGAAAAAGAAATAAAAATGCATTTTTTTGTTTCATGTGTTATTCTTGAGACCAAAAACATGAGGAATAATGTTTCTGAAGCAATTATGCTCATGATAAATTCCAAGATTATCTTATTCATATTTATAAGACAAGGAAATGGGGTCATATTTATTTTTTGAGATGTGCATATGATTACAGTAATCCCTTAAGGTTTGAATTTGCAGAAAGCTAAAAACAAAGATAGCTCTTTTTCAGGCTTTAAAAGAGCTGACGTTTACTGCATAATATGCCCAGATCTAAATTTTAGAAGTCCATCATTCTTCATAAAGAATTTATGTATTTGAAACCTCTCCTTAACCTGACAAGCTTAGTTTTCTTTATTTTATTTCCTTGAACTCGGGTTTTATACGAATACCACCAGGCTCGTTATACAAAAGTCTGCTTCTTGAAAGTACCAGCATAAGAGAGGCACCAGATTTAACATCTAACTACGGGATGAGCATTCCTAATCTGAAAATCCAAAATTTGAAATGCTTCCAAATCCAGAACTCTTTGAACACCAACATGATGCCACAAGTGGAAAATTCCACACATGAAGCCTTTGCATTCTGATGATTCAGTACACAAAAACGTTGTTTCTTGCACAAAATTATGAAACGTGTTGTACAAAATTACCTTCAGGGTATGCGCTTAAGGTAGATGCAAAACATAACTGAATTTTTGGAACTTGGATTCCATCCCCAAGATATCTCATTGTGTATATGCAAATATTCCAAAATCCCACATCCAAAACGTTTTTGGTTCCCAACATTTCGGATAAGGGTTGCTCAAACTGTGCCACAGGATTTTTTATTTTATTTTATTATAGAGATGTGTGGTACAAGTGAGGATTAACTACATAAGTAGGCTGCTTGCAGGTGAAGTTTGGGCTTCTAACTGACCCTTGCTCCCCTGTGTACCATAGTATTTTGCCTGTTGACTTATACACCTGAGATACTAAGAGGTGTGCTTTTCCCAACAGGTGTGAACTTGCTGGCTTTTCTCATCATTGTGTTCTCCTATATTACCATGTTCTGTTCCATTCAAAAAACCACTTTGCAGACGGCAGAAGTGAGGAATCACATCGGAAGGGAAGTGGCTGTTGCCAATCGCTTCTTTTTTATAGTGTTCTCTGATGCCATCTGCTGGATTCCTGTATTTGTCACTAAAATCCTTTCCCTCTTCCAAGTGGAAATACCAGGTTAGTCTCTTGTCTCGTTCCCAAGTACGTTTTGCCTTCCTCCCTTCTTCTTTCGACAAAGCCAGAATCCAAGATAGTACCTTACACATTGTAACTGATCCATAAATACCTATAGCTTCAATACAAAGAGTTATTATTTCCCCTAGTGTTTTATAATCAGTATCCTCAAATAGAAACTGGGTAGTGGTGCAATCCAGTCAGAAATAAAAAGCAAGACCACAAACAGAACAAAGAGAGACTAAATCTGAGTATCTCGCTTCCACCTGAGCTAAAGAGTGGTTCTTAACCAGGAATATTTGTAAAAAGTCAAAATCTTCACCCCAGGGTCTGCCTAGGACTCTGGTTTAGTCCCTAGAGGCTAAGACCTATAGATGGGTTGTTAGGTTTTGGTGGAACCTCCCAAAATGTCAGGGCCACACCCCTAACGGGGGCTCCAGAATGTTAAGTCAGGTCCGCCGGGAGTGTGGGATGTCTGGTGTGCGATTCGAAGTTGCATGAAAGATGCAAAGAATTGCACAGAAGTTAGATTGGAAGATATAGTTTATTTAGAATGTAAATTAGAGAGAGAGAGAGGAGATTCACCTCCCCAAGATAGGGGAGGAGGCCAAAGCTGTGAATTAGTTACTCTTTTGCATTTCCATGAGAGCCATCAGTCTCTAGCCATTTGGCCTTTTTCAAACAAATCTGTCCTAGCACCTGGTGGGTTTTTAAAGCTTGCAGCTTGACTTTCAAAAGGAAATACCTTTAACTGCTACCAACCCCCCTTTCTGCCACAAGGTTAGTGGGAGACATTTTGTCATCCCAGGCGATTGCCGTGGGGCCAACTGCTGATTCCGAAGCAGCTACTCAATGTGTTTCTGCGTTCATTCACTCAATCATACAAGAAATATATTTGAGCATGCCACATTCTGCCACAGGGGAAGGTCATTAAGGTGATTGGGTGGCGATCTGCTCTATATCATCACGAAGGGACAGGTACCTGCAGGTGATGGACAGCAGGCAGATGGGTGGGCTAGTCACATGATTGCCACCATGGTGGTGGGGTCTATCTGTGTCACAAAGGTCACAAAGGGCTGATGAGGTTAACCTGGGTCTTATGAGTGGCGGCAAATACTTAAAATAGAAAAACTAATGCATACAAAACAAGCTGGGGAGGGGGGTTGTAAAGCAATTATCAATAGCTACCTCTGAGAAACCGGCTCTGTCCTTGTCTAGTGATTAGAGGGTAAGTTGAGTGAACTGCTTGAAAACCATGAGATTTAGGCAATGTTAAAATGACTGCTCATTGGATATATTAAATCCATGTGATATCTTTTCATGGGTTTTTGCAGCAGCTACCTGTGCAATTCAGATGCACATTTATCTGGTTAGAAGCATCTGTCTGTTTGGTGGTCCTAGTCATGAAATGTCACACTGGACTCTGTAAAAATGCCTCCTCCAGATGGCCAGGTTCCCAGCATACACCCCTACCTCATGAGAGAAAATCAGCTTTCCCATTAGGAGAATCTTACTTGAAGAACTTTCTGGGAGCTAAAGATTAAAGCTATTTAGGGACCACCACCCAGGCTTTAGCCCGTTTGTCAGTGAAACAGGATTGTCTTCAACTCACTGTTTCAACTGATTGCAGATCTACCAGGAAGTTGATCCAGGACAGGAATTGTGTCTTATATATCTTGGCACACCAGTGTCAAGCAGGGTAACTGACACCTCGAAAACCCTTATGCAAGAGTGATGAATGCACAAATGACAAACAGCTGTCACAGCCTATGTCCCCCTAGCTGATGCACTGAGTCATGAGGCCTTGTCAAGAGCCTTGTTGCAAAATGCCACAGGACATCAACAGCTATCAGTTTCATCTCCACAACAAAGCACAGATGTCCCTCAGGCCATCGAAGGTGTGGAAGTGCAAATCAGGAGGGAGTTCAGGGCTGAATACCTGGGAGCCTTTGCTGGGTAGTGAGAGCAGAAGCTATAAGAATTTGTGGGTGATCACTCAGGGACAGCAGAGTTCATGAAATATTAATAATCACAGGTATCCACTTAATGAACAGTCTCCAATCTGTTACTGCTATCTGGAAATCTTAATTTTTAACATCTTATTATTTCAAATTCAACAGGACTCAAATGTCTCCCTTGGCCTCCATTGCTCATGGAATAAAGTCCAAATGCTGGGAATAGTATTATAATATTTCTTTCTTCTCCCCAACCCTCATATATTCTGTGATTCAGGCTCATTGGAATGATTGGGGTTTTTTCCTGCATTTTTCTGATAAGACCTCAGTCTTTGCTAAAGGTATTCCCTCCATCTGGATTATACTTTCCTTTTTTTTTTTGAGTTGGAGTCTCACTCTGTCACCCAGGCTGGAGTGCAGTGGCCGCTCCCGACCACCACAACCTCGACCTGCTGGGCTCCGGCAATCCTTCTGCCTCAGCCTTCCAAGTAGCCAGAACTACAGGCGTGTGCTACCACGCCCAGTTGATTTTTTTATTTATTGTAGAGATGAGGTCTCGCTGCCCAGGCAGGTCTCGAACCTGCGGGCTCAGGCAATCCACTCACCTCAGCCTCCCAAAGGCGCGGGATTACAGGCTGAGCCACCAAGCCCGGCTGGATTATACTTTCAACCTATAAGATCCTAGCCTACTAAATGCTCTTTCCTACCCTTCAAGCCTCAACTCAAATATTCTCTCTTCCACAGTGCCATTCCTGACCTCTCCCCACCCTAATTCTATCCAATCCAGTTGTTTGAAGGGCAGTTGGGGTTTTGTTTACACCTCCCTTAATAGCCTCATGTGAACTGTCTCATGGCAGATTTATTTCTGAATGTGTCCATCGCTCCCTTTGGATTCTAAGCTTCAGAAGGAGGGGACCATGTCTTATTTTCTTTGCATTTACAGCATTTTTTCATTTAGGGCTATTTATCAAAATGCTTTTTCAATTAAAGTTGCTGAACTGGTCCAAGAGTAGTGGAATAGTGGGTCTCATCAACCTACCCCACTCCTATCTCCTTGTTTTTTCATGTGCTTCCCTGACCCAGGCCCTTGCTTCTCTCAAATGTGGGGGAAGCAACCTCACATGGTAAAAGAAGGACCCAGTAAGGAGTGAGACCAGAGTCCGGGTTCCTCTCCTGACCCCGCCACTGACAGGTTGAGGGAGCTTAGAGAGGTCATCTCACCTTACCTCCCTGAGGCTCTCTCTAGACAATCTCTTTAATTCTGCCAGTTTTAATATTCTGTGAGTTTGTTAACTCCTGGAGGTACTTCCTCTCTATATTAGTTTGCTAGAGTTGCTACAGCAAAGACCATAGAAATGTGTATTCTCACGGCCTTGGAAGCTAGAAGTTCAAGATCAAAGTGTCAATAGATTTGGCTTCTCCTGAGGCTTCCTCATTGTCTTACAGATCGCTTCCTTTTTTCTGTGTCCTTACACGGCCTTTCCTGTGTCCCAATTTCTCCTTCTTATAAGGACACCAGTCAGATTGGATTAGGGCCCACCCACATGATCTCACTTTAACTGACCTTTTTTGAGGCCCTGTCTCCAAATAGGTCACATTCTGAAGGACTGGAGGTAAGGACTTCAACATATGAATTTGGGGAGACACAATTCAGTCCCTAACACTCTCTGACTTAGAATCAGGAGATGCATAATGATCGAGGATATTTGATAGCAGCAGGAGTAACCATTATCCTCAGAGGGTCTAAGACACTTCAGATCATGATAAGCTTAATAAATACTTCAACAGAGGAAACTAGAACAGGAAAAAACTATCTTGTGGTATTATTATTGTGCCACACACCAATCTTGCTTTACATTCACAGTTCAATACCTTGAGATTCATCTTGAACATTTCAGTGGAACTAGGAGGAAAGTCTTTTTTTTTTTTAATATGTGGGGTCCTGTAGCAGGAAGACAGAGAGGTCGTGACACCGAGACTATTATAGGAAGTGGCAACTTTATTATGCCGGCGGGCTCAGCGGGCTAGACGGGCTAATGCATCCAGGTCAAGCCTCCCAGAATGGGAGAAGTGGGGTCTTATACCTTCATTTAGGTAAGGGAGGGAGGTTGTGTTGAGCGATTACACATCTTTTTTGGAATTTACAAGGTTGTATTTAGCAAAATCAGATCTTTCAAAGAACAAATGGTTTCCAGGAAACGCAGGGCAAGCAGGGTCTGCAAGCAGGGTTGTAAACCATCAACTTCAAAAGAGGGGTTTTGGATAAGTCTGTGAATTAGTTACTCTTTTGCATTTCCATGAAAGCCGCCAGTCCTTGGCTATTTGGCTTTTTTAAACAAAACTGGCCTGGCAGGTCTTTAGAGCTTGCCACTTGACTTTCAAAAAGAAATACCTTTAACTGCTACCAGTCCCCTTTCTGCCACTGGGTTAGTGGGAGACAGTCTATCATCCCAGGTGATTGCCATGGAGCCAACTGCTGACCCTGAAGCAGTTATTCATGTGTTTCTATGTTCATTCATTCAATCATACAAGAAATATATTTGAGCATATGCCACATTTTGCCACATTACAATTCAGGGTTAGGTATACACATGTTCATTATGTAGGTACCCTTATTGATGAGGTGTGCCCTCCCCCTCCTCTGGCAGTTCCCCACTACTGCCAATCCCACCCCTGCCCTCCCCTGGCAGGTTCCCACTACTGCCAATCCCTTTCTTTTAGTATTATGATAGTTGTTCAAAGTCCACTTATGAGTGAGGACATGTGATACTTGGTTCTTTGTTTCTGTGATAGATTACTCTGTATTATAGACTCTAAGTCCACCCAAGTTGCTGTGAAATCCATAATTTTGCCCTTATTTATGGCTGTGTCATATTCTATCATGTATATGTATCACATTTTTTAAAAATCCAATCCTCTTTCTATGGGCAGCATGGTTGTTTCCATGTTATTACTATTGTGAATAATGCTGCAATCGGAGGAAAGTCTTTATCACACTTGACAAAGCCCATTCTTGCTTGCACAATTTCCCATGGTGTTGCAGGAAATGTTACACTCGCTGATCTAAAGCTACCCTTTCTCCATCCTCCAAGAAACTCTGGGGTTTACTGGTCATGGCATGTCACTGATGGTACCTAAGGTCATTCAGAGATAAACTAACTTTAACCCTCTTCTCTCAGAACTCAGTCACTAGTCTTAAATGGGGGGAAAGGGTCTTCCCAAGACTGAGCAGGAAGTCTCATTTAGAGTACAACTTGCCTATGGAACCTATGTGGCCAGTCTTTCCCTCCTTGAAACCTGAAGTTATCAGGCATTGTTTTTATAAGAGATTGGGTTAGGATTAATGATTGTAATGCCCTCTGGGACCCAACAAACAAAAAGTGACTTACTTTGTTCTGCTTTGATCATAATTCAGATCACCTATTCATTGACCATTCTGATCACTTATTTTTTAAAATTAATTTTAAAAAAACTTTAATAAAGTTAAGATAGGATAAAATGTAGATTTTTTTTTCTTCCATATTATTTCCAGTTTAAAAAAAAATTAAGGACAAGAAAGTGAAGATTAGATGGGAAAAGAGAAAAGCAAATAGAGAAAAGGAGAAGTGAGAGATGAAAGGGAAGAAGGAAAGAGTCAAGGAGGGGAGGTGGATAAGAGTCAGGAAAGAAATGAGAAAGAGCAATAGAGAGGAAGAATGAAAGGACGCAAGGAACAAAGCACAGTCAAAAGAAGAACAAAATAACAGCGGCTCATTGACAGAAGATGCCATGCTCTCAAATATTTAAGACGGTTTATTCAGAAACAAATGTGAGTGACCTTCGGCTCCTGGGACCTGACCCCAGGAAGTCCTGAGAACACATGCCCACCGTGGTTGAATTGTAGTTTGGTTATGTACATTGTAGGATGACGGAGTTACAAGAAACCACCAATCAGTACATGTGAGATTTACATGGGTTTGGCTCCACGGAGGCAGAATGTCTTCAAGCAGGGCCTCGCTGGCTACAGGTGAATTCAAATATCTCTTGATTGGCGATTATTAGTAAGAGTTGTCTGAGGAATTTTGAAAACCATAAAGGCAACAGCTTGGGGAACGAAAAGGGAGTCAAGTAGCTGAAGCTTCTTGGGTGGTTGACTTCAGAAAGAATAGGTAAGTGTCTTAAAAGGTCCCAGAGTCCCCAAGAGACAGCTTTACAGGATCATAAAATAGTTTTATACTAGAATCAAGTTGGAAAGTAAACCACATTATACAGTTAATTGAAAAGAATAAAAATAAAAATCCAATGTCTCTCCAAGCCCCTTAGTTAGAAATTTGGCAAGGTAAAGAAAAAAGGTCAGAGTTGAGTCCTTAGGCTAAAGGATAAGAAAAGTATGAGGTGAAAGGGAAGAAAAGGGACAAAGAATAGTGAGAGAAAGTATCATTGACCTTACCATCCGCCTCTTTACCGGAGCTGGGAGTTCTTTGAAACTTTGAAGATGAGGAAGGAGGCAGCACTGTGTGGTAGGGTTTGAGGATCTTGGGTCTTAGTGCTGAAAAGAAACATCAACAGAGCAGACGCTAACCCAGCCTCCTGAACTCAGTGAGCAAGTTTTGACCAGTCCCCTTTCATAAAGAAGGTCGGGGAGGTTGAGAAAGTGGAGTGATTCTCCCATGCTCACCCAGCTAAGTGTCCCATCCCATGAGCTGAGGAATTTAGAGGAGAATAGGCCATTGTTTTGTTAAACACCGGCCAGGCCATGTGGTTCTTTGAGCTAAGGTCCTCCATGTTTTCCTAAGCTTTGGCACCCCTCCCCTACCTTGGGGAGATGACTCTCCTCTCTCGCTCTCTCCAATTTACTTTCTGGATAAACTATAACTTCCAATCTATAAATAAATAAATAAAGGAGGAAAATACATTTCATTGTAACCAGGAAAATGATGCCCCCAGGAAGGACACTATCATTCCGGATTTCATCTCAGGAAGAAATTTGGGTGACCTCTTTCCCTGAATAGTCTATTAGCAATTTCAAAGCCACACAAGAGAGGGTTTCATCAAGGATGTATTCCTCTTTGCTCTTCAAATCTCTTGATAGGATAATAGGATATCAGGAATACCAGGGAAGGGCAATAAGCCTTGAGGATTGAATAAAATTAAGACCTCGGTCAGATCTGGTTCCTGGGCCAGAAGTCTCCTGAATCATGTTCTATTGATTAAGAGATATCTCCTCATCTTCTTAATTGTCTATAAAGGTAGGCAGTAAAAATAAGAAAAATACATTATATAGCAATTTATGGTTTACATGTGTCTTCACATATTTCCCCTTGTTTGGTCTCACAACCTATAAGTTATGTACTGAAACTCAGAAAAATTAAAAGGTAAGACCTTAAAGTCTTAGCACCCATTCTTTCCCAATAAAGAGATTTTCCGTAAGGTGAGAGGAAACTTAAATGTATTAGTTGTTCCTCTCTAAATAGCATTGACTGTAAAGTGTTATTTGTGTTTTATGTCTATTTAAAACCTCAACTGTCTTTTTACATTTTGCTTCCTTCTCCAGACACAATTACTTCCTGGATAGTGATTTTTTTCCTCCCAGTAAACAGTGCTTTGAATCCTATTCTCTACACTCTCACAACCAGCTTTTTTAAGGACAAGTTGAAACAGCTGCTGCACAAACATCGGAGGAAATCCACTTTCAAGATTAAAAAAAAAAGTTTATCCACATCCATTGTGTGGACAGATGACTCCTCTTCACTTAAACGTGGGGTTTTAAAAAAAATAAGCCTTGGGGACAGTATAATGAAACAAGTTTCCTAGCAATGGATTGGGATCAGTGGACTTTCCATAGACTGCCTAAGACAAGGGACAACTTTTGGAAGGTGACATGTGCAATGCTTTTCATCTTTACCAATGGCAAACCTCTCTGCATGAAGAACACAGCTGAATGGCTCTTGGCACTGTGTATCAATGGCAACTGTACTATTTACCAACTGTGCTAAGAACTGCACCAAAGGGTTCTTCTCCTCACCCTTTCATGCCTGAAATGCACGAGTGACTCTGTATATAGGGGGTTGATATGCTGTTGATCCCTACTGCCAAACCTATTGTCAATACTGTTGACATCGTCTATTGTCAGCATTGCCAATAGGTTGCCCACAGGTTGGCACTGCATGGTCTGCTTTTACGTCAAGTTGTGCTGTCCATCAATGAAGAACATCTACGGCATCTTATTTCAGTGTGGCCATCAAAAATATAAGTCTAACATTTCTTTCCTTGCTTTTTCAACATTAAATAAAACCATCAGCATCCTGCTGAATTGACAGCAAAGGATTTCCGAGATGCTCACTCACCCCAAATTCTACCCTGTGAAGGCCAGTGGAGTATCAGCTTTGAGAACAGAACTTCATATGATGTTACCATGGCTAACATACGACCAGAGAGACACACAGATGAAGCCTAGTACCACTCACCTTTTTGGCTTTTATGTAATGCCGGAAGAGCTGAGATCTTAGACAAACAAATATATATGTATAGTTAAGATTGCCCAGGGCACAAAGGAAAATTGGGCACCTCCACTACTAAAAACTATACTTAAATATTTTTTTAAGTGTAATTTCTTCAGAGCAGTCTCCCTACTGCTGGCAATTCTGACTTCATACAATACACAGATAAGAGGTGTTCAAAGGAATTTGAAATAGTGGTTTTATTTGGGACCATTTGCATTCTTAAATAAATTCCCATTGTTTTTAACTAGCTCAAGGCAAGCAAGTTTGGATTTGTTTTTTTGTAAACAAAAAATAATTGTAAAGCCCTGGACTTTTTTTTAATACTAAAAAAGTTTCTATGTAAAAAATAATTGGGTAAATAAAATTATATTTTGCATTTGTCCATATATCATTTTATATACTATATATGTAAATATATATTATAAATGTAACAAAGACCGTGGATAAGGTTTATTGACTGTTAGGCATATTTCTTGTAATAAAGAATGTAGCCAGGAAACATAGCAATTTAGTTCACAAAATACATCTTACACTCTTCTTTCTCTTTCCATTTTGTCACAGAATGAGGCAGTAACTTAATTTCTTCACTGTTCACTTACATTCTGAGTTTCTTAAATAAGATAAAGTGTAAGCAGTTGGCTGAGAACACCATGTCACCTCTGATTACATATCAAATGGGATGCCCTTTTATCTAGTAGAATGAAGGAGAGAAAGAAACTCAGAGTTTATGAGTCATAGCCATTCTGGTAACTTCCTTGTTATTACATACTATTGACAAAAACCATAATGTGAGTTCCTTCATCTTGATCAGGTAAGATATTTCTTACATGAGTAAAATATTTTCATTAGGATCCTAGAAATAATGTTTCTAGCCATTGACTAGGCTACCCTTTTTCTTATGGCTTCAAACTTTTCTCCATCTTGTCTCATCAATATGATGAATTACTTCCTAAGTTTTTTTTCTAGTTTTATTAAATGTCCTTTACCAGTCCTTGATCATCATAGGATTTGTTTCCTAATACATTTTCTGACATTAGGAGCATAAATAAGGGATGAACCCTGAGCCTAGGGTGTTTTCATGTTAGTACAAATGTGTATCTCTCATTCATGAGAAGCATCATCCAAGGTCCATGAATCAAGCCTTTAAGAATTGTTGTTTGTGAATGTCCACACTGCTGCAATTACACAGTAGACATGAGGGGAAATACACAACCAGATGCTTTGGGAAGGACAGCAGCTATATGGAAAAAAATGGAAACTCAGCAATATGCCAACAAATAGCAAAAAGTTGAAATCTGATAGCTTAGTGATTTACAATCTTCTGCACTGCTCTACAGATAGAAAACCATTAGAAATATGCATGATGCCGGGCTCGGTGGCTCAGCCTATAATCCTGTGCTTTGGGAGGCTGAGGTGAGTGGATTGCCTGAGCCCGTGGGTTTGAGACCCGCCTGTGCAACTTGGCGAGACCTCATCTCTACAATAAATCAAAAAATCAGCCGGGTGTCGCAGCGCATGCCTGTAATTCTGGCTACTCAGAAGGCTGAGGCTGAAGGATCGCCGGAGCCCAGCAGGTCGAGGCTGCGGTGGCCGGGAGCGGCCACTGCACTCCAGTCTGGGCAGCAGAGTGAGACTCCAACTCAAAAATTAAAAAAAAGAAATATGCATGATTCTAGCAAATCATTTAATTTTTATCTGAATTGAGAGAAATCTTTTTTGGTAGGCCAAACCTGTTTTCTAAACCTGGTATTTCTATGTGGTTATAAAAATATCACCTGTGTTCATGAATCATCCGTTTTCCAAGACAATATAAACATCATTTCAATATCACTGCAGAATTTAAGAGGCCATAGACTTGACCATCTTTGAGTAAGAGAGGATGAGAGCAAATCACCTGTTCCTCATTCTAACCATGCAATTGTACATGACTGACATCTTGTCTTAAAGAGGATAAAAAGATATATCCTAAAAAGTCAATATAGACTGGGCATGGCAGCTCATGCCTGTAATCTCAGCATTTTAGGAGGCTAAGGCAAGAGGATAAGTTGAGGCCAGGAGTTTGAGACCAGCATGAGCAACATATTGAGATCTCGTCTCTACAAAAAATTAAAAATCAGCTAGGCGGGGTGGTACATACTGGTTGTTCCAGCTACTCAAAAGGCTGAGGCAGGAGGACAGCTTAAGCCTGGAAGTTCAAGGCTGCAGTGAACCGAGAGTGCGCCACTATACTCCAACATGGACAACTTAGCAAGACCCTGTATTCCCATCCCCCTCCCACAAAAAATAGTCTATATGAAGCCTCAGATGGGTATATTGAAAGCATGTGTTTTATATGTGTTAGACATAGATAAGCTTGATGACATACCTTTGTTTCATTTTTAAGGCTCATTTCTTCTATTTTTTTTTTTTTTTAAGTTGGAATCTCACTCTTGTTGCCCAGGCTGTAGTACAGTGGCATACTTATGGCCACCACAGTCTTGACCTACTGGGCTCAGGCGATCCTTCCACCTCAACCTTCCAAGTAGCTGGGACTACAGGCATGTGCCACCATGCCCAGCTAACTTTTTTTAAATTTTATTCTAGAGACAAGGTCTCACCAAGTTGCCCAGGCTGGTCTCGAGCCCGTGGGCTCAGGCAATCTTCTCACCTCAGCCTACCAGAGTATTGGGAGCTACCACACTCAGCCTTCATTTCTTTTTTTTATATCAAAATAGTTTATATCCGTTGCAGTTGCTAAAATAGCCTCTTGATGGCCTGGAGCTTTGGGTAAAATTGCATATACTGTATTTGAGCTTTATACACAGGGAGCGGTATCATCTTCCCAACACCACCTCGCACCCCAGGCCCAGAATTCCGTTCATCTGGTCTCCATAGCCTTATGAAGCCACAAAAGCAGGCCCATCATCCCAACATTTAACTCTTTCTTTTTTTTTTTTTTTGAATTGGAGTCTCACTCAGTTGCCCTGACTGGAGTGCAGCGGCCGCTCCCGGCCACCGCAGCCTTGACCTGCTGGGCTCCAGCGATCCTTCCGCCTCAGCCTTCCAAGTAGCTGGAACTACAGGCACACACTACCCTGCCCGGCTAATTTTTTATTTATTGTAGACATGAGGTCTCGCCAAGTTGCCCAGGTGAGTCTCGAACCCGCGGGTTCAGGCAATCTTATCTGGAAGTTTTGAGAAGGTTGTGTCACAATCTGCAGAAGAAATGCACTGAGTTGTGGCAAACAGGGGACTGATTCTACCACCATGACAATGCACCTGCCCAAACCACACTGAGTGTTCAGCAGTGTGGTTCAGCAGGTTTTCACCAAAAACCTTGTGTCCCACCCTCTCTATTCTCCCAATCTCACCTCATGACTTTTTTTGTTTTCCTGGATGAAAAAAAGTCCTCAAAGGGAAACATCTTGCCAACGTGGAAGAGGTGAAACAAAAAACAACAGAAGAACTAAAAGGCACCAAAATTGACAAGTTCAAAAACTATCCTGAGCAGTGGAAAGAGCATCTTGATAAGGTGTATTGCATCAAACAACGAGTATTTTGAAGGTGACTGAAGTGTAAACATATAAGAATAACACACACTTTTTAATAAATAAATTCTGTTTTTTGGGGAAGTCCCCTGTATCTTCCAAAATTAACCAGGAATAGATGTGAAACATATTTCTTTTTAATTTTTGCAGTGTAGAATAATTGGGAATATATCAAGCTGTCTTATGCTTTAGTCAAGCAACAAAATAAATTAAAGATAAATATTTGTATTTTCTTACCCGGTGAATAAGAAAGGATTCCACTTTACATTTATCTGCTTGTATATTTATCTGTGTATATGCCAGTTTTCTGACATTCTGTTTATGCAAGATGAAAAATGCATATTTAACAATGATGATGTTTATTTCTGAACCAGGAAAATGAAATAAAATTAGACTATTCTTCTTTTAAGTGACTCTTCAATAGGAGACTTCAAGTCCTTGAGAAACACTTCCTAAAGCCCTGGAAGCAGATGAAAACTATTACTCAATATATTTCATTAGATGAGTCTTCAGGAGATTTCCACACATGCTATTTCACATATGGGAGAAATAAATTACAAATGAAGAAATAGGGAAGAGCAAGGCCAAGTTACCAAACTGCACATCCAGGAACATGCATCTTCTATTGTCTGAAGTCCATGGTGATAGTTCTTACCTCTAGGCTCTGGGAAAACTCATAACTATTTTGAGTTATAAGCTCATAACCAGTTTCAATATAAGAAGAAATTATTCCTAGACCACCTGGGAACCAATAATACTTTGTGTTTAGTGCATTTCTGAATTCATGGTTCTAGGGTGTTTAAGTCAGTAGTGATTCTGTGTTGGAAGCCATTCCCGTTCCTACTGCAGGCAACACATATGTAGGACAAGGAAACACGGAGTCA